CATTTATCCACTATCTCAAGAATACTCAAGCCTCTCACCTGCTTCATACAAACCACTATGCCCTTCTGCCTGGACTATAACAGCTCTCCCTTCACCCTCCCCCACACAAACTGGCCTTCTAACTTCCAGTCTGATTGCAATCCGTTCTCCACCCTGAAGCCCACGTGATCCTGTCACATACTTAGTGCAATTATGTGAGCCCCTGGATCCACCTATGCCTGAAGCCACATACCTTTGAGCGTTTTAGTTATATCAGCCAAAATTTTCCCTTTTACTAAAGTCAGTTACTTTTAGCTCAGCGTACCTTGCAAATAATACACCCTAATACTTTCTGCTACTGCCCTGAACACTCCTTAGCTACCTACCTGAAGTGGTTTAACCAGTGCCTAGGACATATTTAGCACATGGTAAATGTTTGCCAAACTGAATCAATCTGGACAGTACTCAGAGCCTTGTGACAGATACAAACAGGATCCCAAAGGTAAAGACCTTGTTTGACCTTAGCCTTGCAAAACCCACAAAAAGTCACTGCATAAAAGCATAAAAGACAAACCTAACAGTTGACAACAAAATGCTGTCACCCGGTCCCCTTCTCCTCCATGAAGCAGTTTTTCAGAGTGGTGGAGGGAGTTCTTGTCACTCCCTCAAATGTGGTTTTGCTTACTTCCCAAGCCACAGAAAAAAGCTCTCATCTCCTGGGCGTCTTTTATTTTTAAGTCCAGCCTGGGGAAAAAAATGTGCATGTAGAAAATTCTATAATTACCAGATCTGATTTTCATTTGAACTTTTCCTCTCTGACATCACTGCAAAGTTCTTTGGTGACTGGCAGCCACCCAGCTCTTGATGTGTGCCTGTGGTACAAAACCTGCTGCTTGTGAGTGTGTGTGAATGTGTGTGGGTTTGCGTGAGTGTGCAAATGTATGGGGGGTACTCGTGTGAGTGCAAATGTGTGTGTGAGTGAGCATGTGAATGAAAGTGATGGGATGTGCATGTGTGTGTGTATGTGTATTGCACTGTGTGAACAAGCATGGCATGTGAATGCATTTTGGATAGATATGTGTGTGTGTGTGTGTGTAAATGACCCTTGGTGAGTATTGTGTGTGTAAGTATGAGGCTATGTATGCATATGACGATGAATGTCACAGATGAATATGAGACAAATGTGAATGAATTGTGTGTGTGTGTGTGTTGCTATGTAAGCTTGCAAGAGCTTTACGGCTGTAGCGGCATCTGAAAAGATGTCTAAGGGTCAGGTGAGAACGGAAAGAAGAGAGGACAGTGACGGGAGCACACACTGCCTGAAGATGAGCATAAAGTCTTGGAGACGAGAGGGAGACCTTGCCATTCCTGTGTGAGGCCTCTGTGTGGGAAGGTGAGAGAGATGGAGACTCCAACACCTGTGAAGGGATCTCTAAATAGGAGAAGCTCAGAACATGATGCTTATTTGGAGACACAGACAAGCTCGAGGGAAAAGTCTGCTTACGTGTCAGTGGGTAGTGTCTTGGAAAGAAAACTCCAATCTTATGATGGAATAATGGAAACCAAGACCTCCGGAGCCAGGTACCCCGGGATTGCATCTGGGCTCTGCTGCAGCATCCAGGTACCTTCATTAACCTTTCCTTGCCTAATCCCTCCTTATCTGTCAGATGAGGGTTAGCGTGGAATTTGTTTTCTGCAGCTGCTAATGATGGTTAATGGAGTTAATTTTGCAAAGAGCTTGAATAGTATCTGGATATTTAAGTGTTGATTGTTGTCATCACCTTCATCACCATCAGCACCTCCCCATCATTAAAAACATTACTGGCTGTAAATACAGTCAGGCATCCTATCTAGGTTTGCTGAATGAATGAATGAGGTATTTGGGCATTGATAAGCCACGCTGCTTCTCCTGAGGCCTCGGCACAGAACACTTGCACCTCTGCCCAGTGCTCCCTCTCACCCTTTCTTTCCCTGACTCCTTACCCCTACACGGTACATACCTACTGGCCTCCAGTGGAGCCTCATTCACTCCAGGGAGCCTGCGCTGACCTCCTCCACCAACCTAGGCACATATGCACGCCCCACCAGGACCGTTGCCCTGTTACTTAACCTTCTATCTTCACCACTCAGCTGCCGGCCCTTGGGATGCTGCAGGCTTCATCTCTTCTGTTCATTGCAGTTAACCCAGTGCACAGAACGCAGCGCTACACAGCAGAGGCTCAATGCATATTTAATGAGTCAATTGATTGATTGATTAATTAATTAACCATACCGTAGCACTATCCAAGCTCTAATATGCACAAAAATCCAGTGGAGATTGGGTTAAAATGCAAACTCTGGGAACTCCCTTAAAAGGCTGGGGCTCTGTATGCCCACCCAGCTCCCAGGGATTCTGACGCAGCTGGCCCACAGCGGACACTAGAATCACAGAGTACCAGGGTCTCCACTTATTTCAGGGTTTAGAAAACATAATTGTGGAAACAACCTGCATCCATGGATAGATGACTGGATTAAAAAGTGTTATATATCGCTATATACATCACATATATTTGAGTATTATTCAGCCTTGACGGAAGAAAACCCTTCCATTTGCAAGCATATGGATCAACCTGGAAGACATTATGTTACGTGAAATAAGCCAGGCACAGAAAGACAAATGTTGCATGATTTCACGCGAATATAAAAGCGAAATAAAATAAAATAAAAGCAGAGACTTGTGGAGTCAAAGTCTACATTAAATCTGCACTCCATCACAAGATACCTGTAAGACCTTCCTTGCCTAAGCCTCAGTTTCTCTCCTGTCCAATGGGGTGGCGCCCCCTTGGTCAGCTGGGTACCCCACGAGGTCAATGCCCCACCACGGAACAACTCACTAAACGCCAGCTGGGCAAGTCTGCTGTCCCCACCCGCCTCCTGAGGACATCCTGCATGCCAAATGAGCTAGTGCCGTATGAAAGCATTTCCCTGACATTAACAAGTATTATTATTGTTATCATCCTCGAGGTAAACTGATTTACAGAAACCAGGTTAGAACAAAGGCCAAGGGAGGCAAGACTGTTCTGGAAAACAAACCAGGGGGCAGAAGGGCTCCCAAGTGGCAGAGCCAGGCTTTGTGGCAAACACAAACATTGTCGCTGCGGGGAAGAGAACAGCTAATGCAAAACGGAAAGGAAAATGAGTATTTTCAAGCTTTAAACGAACTGGTTTTACCCCCCGATCCAATTATAGAGGAAAGTGCAGTTAGATATAATCAAAGACTGACAAAGAGCAAATATTTGTTCCGGTAAATACACTCATCTCTCTCAACTCACTTGAAACATTTTCTGCTTTCTAAAGAAGCGCTTTTGAATGCAGAGCTGCAAAGAGTCACCTGCAAGCCTCTGTTCTGACAGACAATGAGTTGCTTTTCCGAGAAAGGCCGCCTCTGGATGCTCCGCGGAACCTGAGGCCCAGGCAGGTGTCACGGAGGGTGCCCTGCGGGCAGGGGAAGGCTTTGTGACGCTGCCATTGAACATGTTAATGGAGGTGGCACCTGGAGACGGACCTCTCCAACCAACAACAGCATGGCAGTGCAGCGGGGGTAAACTGAGGCTTCTCTCTGGAGGGAAAGGAGAGCGCTGGCGCTGGGGTTTGCGTCCATCTTTCCCGTCATTTGCTACACCAACGTTCAGCTGGGGTGTGGACAGCGAGGACCTAGAGGATCAGGGTCCCACAGAAACGCCACACAGGTACATCCACAATGTGACGGTTTCCAGAGACCACCTTCAAAAAGCAAAATCAAAAGAGAAGAAAAACCAAGTGATACTAATTTCAATGACGTTTTGATGAAGCCGGTGCTCCTCAAGTGTATCACTTCAACACGCAGGCGATGTAGAAATGACCGGCACGGTTTACCTCCTTTTCTTTCTGTATGTACTACATCTTCAGAATCCAGCAGGCACTTTGCCCGTGCCGTGCACGGCCGTCACTTGGATCTGTAGTGGCCACAGTGGCTGCCATGCTGAAAATAACAGCTTTGACAGCAGCCTAGCCATCCTCCCACCGAGTCACATTCCAGTTCCCTGGGAGTGACCGGAAGTCTGTCTCAGAGCACCTCTGTTCCTCAAGAAACTGGACAGGAGAACTTTGGATTTTGGGGGGTTTTTGGTGTTCAGCACTGACAAAGGAAGTTTTTCTTTCCCTGGCTGTCTTTATGCCTCCCTCTCTCTCCTGATTCTGTTCTCTCTCTGTCTCTGTCTCTCTCTCTCACCTTACGATTCTCTGTTCCCCTTAATATTGATTATTACCCCTGTTTGTTTTCTTCTTGATCATGGATAACTGAAACCAAAGCAAGCCAGACTGTGGATAAGGGGGCAGCTCTCTTTCAAGATGATTGCTCCTTGGTGGCTGTGAGCCCTACCACACATCCACCCTCAACCAGCTCCTTCACCTTTTTTATCCTCCTCTATGTTTCTCCAAGCACCTGGGGGATGTATGCTTTTAACAGTACAAATTCCCAGCTGGCTCTTCAGCTACCTGTGTGGTAGTTTGTATGCTGGGGAACCCAGGAATCCACATTTTACAGAGTACCCCGTCGCAAAAAGAAGGTGGAGAGCTGCCACTCCCAGTGGAATCATCCACTGTCCCACTGAACATCCTGCAGGAGGAGAGATCTCTGTCAGCACCGCCCAGAGCAGCAGCCCCGCTGGCCACATGGGGCAATGGCGCTAGTGGTGCTGAGACACTGAGTGCTTCATTTCCTTGGATCTAGATTTAAGCAGCCACATAGAGCTAATAGTACCAGAAAGGGGAGGTTGAACGAGCCCTGTCTCCAGTGAGAAATCTAAGGCAGTGAATTCCTAGATAAGAAATTCTTGAGCATTTATCGATTTTTGTGAGTTGGGTTCTTCATCCCCACCTACAATTAAATTAGTATGTAGAGAGAGAAAAAGATAGGTAGATAGATAGATAGAGCATAGATAGATAATAGATAGATAGATAGATAGACAGACAGACAGAGACTTTCCTGAAGTGGAGCTTACCAGTAATTGCCATTTAGCTGCACATTCATCCAGGAGTGTCTTGTTCAGTATTTACCATCCCTAGGATACAAGCCGGATACAGCCCTAAGTATTTGACAAGGCAGGGCACAGATGCAAAGCAAAAACAAACACCTGCCCTCAAAGAAAAGCCCTGCTGTGTTCACCTGGTGCTCAGTCCTGAGCGCGCTGCTCCTTACAGCTCCGGGCACCCAGGGCCCGCTGAGGTGGGCAACAGGACCCAAGGGTCGGAGGAGGCATCTGCCGCACTCCTTGAATGAAAGCCTCTCAACTGGGAACCTCAGTCTCCTCATCTGTAAAGTGGGAGCACCTGAGGACCCTTAGAGTTCTAAAATTCTTATTTAAAATAACAATTTATCTCTGCAGACTGCTGCAGTGGCACAATCTATTTGTCTGTAAAGTGAGTAAAGCAAGTTTCTCATGTTGGAAAAAAACCATATATTCGTATATGCATGTGGGTACACACACAGTGGCATAGAGAAATATGCACACAAAGGAAAGGTCTGGAAGTGCACACACCAAGGTTAACAAAAGTCACAACCTCTGGTTAACACTGTGATAGTGTATTGGTCTTGACAATGTAGAACTCCCTCTTCTGTAGCCGCATTTAGTCACTCCTCTCCCCATCTCAGGTGCCAGATATGGATGGAGTTGATTCCACCTCATCTCCCCAGTTCCAGTGATGGACATGTGACCTGGGTCAGCCAGTAAGAAAACAGCGTCCATTCAGTTTAGGCATGTGATCCATGCCAGCCAACCAGAATCAAGCCTAGACCTTGCCTGGTCCTATGATCAAAGAGCTCTCTCCCCTCTGTGAAAGGATAAGTCTGCAGGTGTCGGGGATCTGGCCAGAGACTGATACCATTACTATGACCATTTTCTAGCTAGGGAGACAAAAGCAGGAGGAAGCCGAGCACTGGTTCATAGTCTCAGAGCTAATAAACAAGGGAGATTGGATTGGGACTGGACTATGTCAGTCTTTAAGGACCCAGTTTATTGCTTTTTCATACGCATTCCATAGTAAAAGAATGCTTGACACACAAGGACTCTTCATAAAAATCTCTCTCATTCGTGAGACGATAAACTCCCATGAGAGCAGGCAGTAGTAGATCTTCTGTCTACTACTAAACACCCAGCACCTACCACAGGGCCTGGTGCAGAGGGGCTTGAAAACATCTGTTGAAATAGTGAATGAATGAATGAATGATGTGGTATGTGGGGCTGAAGGGGCCAAGGTATAGGAAAAGTTCATGCAAAGACTCAATTCAAGCCAACATCTGAAGCCCTCCTTCCAACTTGGTCAGGGACGCATCTTGAGAGCTCAGACATGCTTCTCAGTTGAAAATATTCCCTTAATTAGGAGGCATTTTCCAAGACGGACGTGCCCTTCTGAATCACCGTGTCTGCCACAGACATTTGTTGAAGGCCCCCTCCTCCTGCAGACACCAAAGCATGTGCTCCCAGGCCTTTCTCCCCCAATTATTTCCACTGGGGAAGGACAGGCAAGCGGACAAGGAATTGGTCGCCATGTACAAGATGCTTTCCCTTTGCATGAGAGACGCTGAGGAGGGACGCCTTCTTGGGTGCTTCAGGCTGCTCTCCGTGAACCTCCAGGAATGGTTTCTCTCTGGGACCTCGCTTCCACTCCCCAGCAGAAGACCCAGCACAAGCTGTGAGATACAGTGGGTTGGTTTTTATCTTCCACGTACTGCTTTGGTGTGAGAACTAGAGGTCTGCTTTGAGCAGAGATTCTGCCTTTTTATCATGCTTTAGCATTGCCATCGCAGAGCTGGGGACAGCAGCGGCTGTGGTTGGAGACGGCATTGAGACTGGAAACACAGTGCTCCACAAGTAAACACAGTTCTCCGAGTCCAGTGACCCGTGGCTCAAGTTTGTTGAGTCAACCCCTTGCCCTGAATCCTTCAGTGGCTCCCCACTGCCATTCTCTTCACCTGGTGAATTCTACTTAGCAACTGCATAAACGTCTCCTCCTCCTCCTCCTCTTCCTCCTCTCAAAGCCTCCCCAGCTTTGTCCTCCCAGCTTCCTCTGGAAGGACTAAGTTTAGCACTGTTGCCTGAGAGTTACAGCCCACCGCTTAACACAGTGCTGGTGTCATTATTACAAATACCCTCTTCCTCCTCCTCACCCCACCACACCTGGGTCCCCTCAGCACGCCCTGTCAAAGTCTGGTCCCTGCCATTCTCTCAGGAAGAGTTGCGGGGAGCGGGCGGAGGAGGGGCATAGCATCTGGGCAGGAAGCAGTGCTTGGGTGACAGAGTGCCCTACACGACAATGAAGGCAAGCGCAGCACAAACTTTTCCCCCATCCCAGGGTACCGGGAAGACCGAAGCTCCTCCACTGCTGTCCCAACAAGGAGACTGACGTGTTCCCACAAGGCGTTCCAGCCAGACAGGCGGACCCCAGCTCTGCAGGCGAGCTAACTTGGCCCCAGAGCCTTGACCAGCCAATTTAGATCCCAAGACAGGTCCCTTGGAATGAGCCTTCCGAGTCACAGAGAGGCCAGGGAAGAGGACAGAGGCAAAGATAAGGAGCAGGAATCCTGGGGCAAGAGGGCCCTCTGACCTTAGCTGTGGTCTCCGGATCTATTCCTGTCCAGCAATTGCCAAAGAGCCGGGGCAGAGTAATAAGAGAGTAGAGGGGAAGCTGGAAGCAGCTTCAAACCCTGGCAGTCTTCTCCCTCCAATATTTGAACCCCGGGAGGAAATTATCTTACCTTTGGCTTGCTCTGTCCCACCCGGCACTTTAGGAGGCTAACAGGCTGTGATACTTTTCTGCTCTTTGAGATCTGTCAGGCAAAGCTCACTGGTATCCAGGAACTGTTGGCTTCTCTCAGTCTCCACCTGAGTGGCATCTCTTTAGGACAGTAAGTTTACACTTCTATTGTTCAGGATCTTAAACTTCTGTCTTCCCCAAGACATTGCTGTAGGAAAAGTACAGGAGGACTTTTAGTTCAGTGGATGTTCCTTACAAGCAGAGAGCTCATTCCTGCCTCAAAATGTGTGCTTGAAAACCATGCTTACCTATCCTAACTTGAAGTTCACGCTCCCAGGTGAGAACTGGGACTCTAGCTTCACACCCTGCGTGCTGTGTGACCCTGGACAAATGACTTACCCTCTCTGAGACTTGCTTTCCTTATCTAAAAAGTAGGATAATAACAGACCTCTTTCATGAATGTGCATAAAGATTAGATGAAATGATATATGTTAAAGGCCAAGCATGGCTTCTCGTTCTAACAAATTACCTACCCTCACCGGTTATTATTTCTGTGTTCAAATGAATTCATTTCTTGAGTGAAGGCTTGGATTATACTAACTCAGCTTTTTGTAGTTCTGAAACAGTACGGTGAACAAACAAAAATAGACTTTTCTGCCACGTGTATATTTAAAGCCATAAAAAGAATGCAAAAGATAAAGAACTGGTTTACGTTGGCTCCAGGAAGTATCTTGAAGAAGGCTTGTTATTTCTGTTGTTAATACATTCCCGATAGCCACTTATTTCCTGGTTATTTGCCTCTCTGGCTCTGATTGGCCAGGTTCCAGTTCATTGAGGTTTTACTGCACTTGGAAACTATGTTAGGAAGACCTTGAAGCCTCCAGGAAAATGAAAACTTCCCTTTCTTCCCCTTTCTACCCAGTTGTGGTGGCCAAATCTACACCCAGATTCAGAGAGTTCTTCCAATTTCAGATATTCTGTAGCAGTGACTCTGTAACCATCAGTTGCCCCAGAAATTATAGTATTTCGGCATCTAAGGTATAATTCCCTCCTTTGCCACAGAGAGAAGTAGTCAAGGAAAATCCTTTGTTGGTTCACGCATCCCCAGCTTTGATTCAGATCGTATGACTTCGTGTCTGTCTAGGTCCCTTTTGTGTTCCTCCAGTACCCTCACCATCTGACCATTGTAATCATCTGTCCACTGCTGTCACCACTTCTCACAATGTCACACACACACACACACACACACAAATGGGCAAACACACACATCCACACACAGACATCCATCTCTGCTCTCCGCACCCTGGGCATTCCCATTATTAAGGCTTCCACTCAGCAGAAATTTAGATTAAAAATTTCTAAAGAACCCCAAAAGTCTTTCATTACCACCAAGAATGTGAAGGTATAATTACACCACTAACCAAAGAACCTATTTTTTTTCCCCCCCTAAATGCCTGAAAGAAATTGGAAAACTCCCGGCCGTCACAGCCTTGTTTTCTGCTCAGTGGTGGCCGGGTAAAACACACCCACAGCAGCAGAACAAGTTCCTTTCCCCGTCCAAGCGAGGTTCTCAAACGCTGGCCAGTCTGACAGCTATAAATACAGCTCCCTGCCTGGATTGCTTTCTTCCTTTTCTGTATCTCCTGATGAAATTGTTGACTGCTCCAAAGTCCCTGTCCTTGCTCCGGTCTGAAAGACCAAGAACAGAACTGAAACCAAGTCCAAGGCTATAATGAGTGCTGCAGTGCCATCTGCTGGCCTTTTTCATAAAACAGCGTCCTGCTTGCCCCGAGCTGTGTTCCCCCATTTCAAAGCTGCGGAGAGGAACTGGTGATACAGCCTCGGGCATAAGAACCCACGATTTTTACTGTGTGAATTTCCTATTATCCTATGATTTAGACTGGGTATTTATAAATAGGGCCTCTTTCCTCCCCGTCCCTTTTTAAAGATTTTAAAAACAAGATCAGAAATCTGGGAGAGATGGACTCTGCTGATAACCAGACCACCAGTGTTATTATGTTATATTAATCAATAATAGTAATAAGCTCATTGGAACTTCAGTTCTACACGTTCCTAATCCAGGCCCCTACGTCAGCATGTTACAGTTTATAAGAGGATTTACTATCGCTGGCAAGCTTACAAGGCAGTAACAGAACAAAAACAAAATATATAAATGAAGGAAAAGAAGACAGATGAATAAGCCCATTTCCAAAGGAGCAAGAACCCAACCCGTGCAGGTAGATTTTGAGATTAAATTAACTTGCATTTCACCTGAAAAGAGACCTTTCTGTTTAATCAGACGAGCTCATTTCTCATTTCTAAGCGATTACATTTTTGCAGCCCATCAAAAAATCAAAGGAAACACGCAGGTTCTCCTTCATAAATAATTTTGTGTCTTCTAAGAGATGAAACATAAGAGCCCAGGCCTCGGTGTCCTTTGCTGGAGTTTGTTTTGCCTCTAATCCTTCGGTTTCAAAGGAGACAGTGAATTGCCAAACTTGATAAAAGAGAGGGGGGTGTTTGTCTTTACAAGACAGGGTGGTGTGCTTTTATTTACCGCGTTCCCCTAGAAGTGTGTCCCTAACATACAAAAATCAAATATTCTCTTCCCATGTGCACCATATGGAAGTTGTCCTAAATAATCACCCACATGAATTTAGACAAATATATGTGAAACAGTACAAATTGCGCATACACGCACCCCCGACTCAGAAGTCTCCCCCTCTTCCCCCCGAGCCAAGCTTGTTCGCTGTCTGGGTTATGTTTTCTACATGGGACATGGAGTCTAGCAGACCCCGCTATTGGTGCTCACCTCCGGCTTTCAAGAGAAGCTTCAAGCTCCTGATCTTTCTTCGAGGAGAGGATTTAGTTAATGTTTCCTAGTATTTTCAGCCCTTTCATGGATTTCCTTCCTTTCTAATATTTTTAGTCCATGAATAAAAAAAAAAACTCATTTATAAAAAATTCAAAAACTGCATCGGTGAAAACCTCCAGCTGTACTGTTCATTATTTTAGTGAATGTATTTTTGCTCCTTCGAAACTGGCAGCCCAGCTCTGATAAAAGGCAGGCACAACCCCAGAATTAAGTGGAGGTGTTTTTAAAAAACGATTAATACATAAAACTCTTATTTAAAATGTTTGCGCTTTGCCATGAAATTGCCTTTGCCAAGGCATAAATTGGCTAGGTCCAAATCCTTCACATTAGGAAAATAAACATATTATCGGGAGCAGGTTTGATTTTTTGGCCGACCCTGATTCAGTGTGTCTCTCAGCCTCTTTTTTGGGATTGCAAGTTATCCACGGTCCCTGGTCTAAAAGACTGAAATTTTGGGACATGATCAAAAACATGTTTAATGGAAACTCGTCACATCTTCTACTTTTTTTTTTTTTTTAAACAGGATCTTTTCATTCACCCGCCCCTGAACCCATTCCCAGAAATTTGGGGAGGTTTTCTTGCAATCATCATGCGCTCAAAATGCCTGCTGCTAATTTCAACACAATTTTCTGCCCTGTTTGAAAAGGATTTTTTGTTTGGATTTAGTGGGGTTAGGGTTCAGTATGTGTGTGTGTGTGTGTGTGTGTGTGCACGCACAGCAAAGGGGGGAGGGAGACAGAGAGCACAAATACTTCTGCTTTGAAGTTCCCACATAATTACTGTTAAGATCTATCAAAATGTACTGTGAGACAGAGCTCCTGCTCCAATCTGATGAATGGAAAGCCAAGCAACATCCAGGAAGACTTTTTAAAAGAATGGATGAAATTAAGAACCAGAGCAAATGTAACAAAGGTAGATGGAAAGATGTCGTGATTTCTGCTGCTGTGGTTGTTTCTTTCAGGGGAGCATTAAAAAGAGAGAGAGAGGGAGGGAAAGAGGGAGGAGGGGGTCAGAAGAAGGGAAAACGAAAGAGAAGATGCTGACGGAGAGAGGGAAGAGAAGGCTGGAGGAAAAAAGAGAGGGGTGAAAGGAGAGAGAGAAGGAGGGAAGCAAAGAAGAGAAATTAGTATTCACATGGTGGGAGGAGAACCGTTTCATCTTCTTTGCCGTAGAAATTAAACCTTGCATGGGAGACCCAGAAGGAAAAGGGAGGAAAGAGTCGGTTTCCCTTTTCCGTTTCCCTTGTTGGAATATTGCTCAGGAACATCTGAAGGGAAAATGGTTGTAAACTTGGGAGAGTTGTTCTTCTTTCAGTCCTGATCAAACTAGCAGCCGCGTTGGGGAAAAGTTCTTAGTGTCACAGTGCCCCCTGGAGTCCCGCCTGGAAGGGTCCCGGTGTCGACCTCCAAGGACCTTCCGCTCTCCAGCCTTGTTTTTCTTACTATGGGGGGAGGAAGAGGGAGGGAAAAATTTTAAACAATCTCAGGACCTTTTGAAGGTTGCCACCGGCCAGGGGAAGGAGGATTTGGAGAAATAACTTCCGATTTATTTCAGAGAGTTAGAAAGGGGGAGCGGGGAATAAGTCCTTTCTCCCTCTCTCTTCTTCTTCCTACCCCTTACCCCCTTAATCCTATTTTAGTTGAGGTCTGACCTTGGAAATTTCTAAAAGACTTTAATCTCCTGTACTTCTGCTAAAAGGAGCTCAGAGATAAAGAGAGTGAGGGTGCGGATGAAGGTGATTTAACGTTGTTTATTTATGAATGGCTTCAACTTCCCTGATGGTAAGAACGCTAACTAGTTCGTTAGGCATTCTCTTTCCCTGGAAACCTCTCCCCAGTATTTTTTACTTCCTTTTTGTCCCCACCCCCACCCCTTTTTAGACAAAATGTACCCAATCATTAAAACTCAGCTGAGAGAAATGATCTTAAGCCTTCTGCCCCGGGCAGATCTAACGCTCTCTAATCTCAATATCCTTAGATGACTTGGAAATGCCCAATTGATATTTTCTGTAAGTGCAGGGCTCTCTCCCCCGCAACCCCCCAAACTGCTCTAGAACAAACAAATTACAGTCATGTTGAAAGACAGGGAGAGAAAACAAGAGAAAGAATGGTTTCCATAAAAGTTATAGAGATATAAAAGAAATCCAGGCACCGAGAGGGCTATGCAAATCTCAAATTTGGGGAGGTACGAACTCATTGAAATCATTAAGTATTTCATTTTTCAGATGAAAGGCTCTCCCTCTGCATTACCGTGTACAACTCTGATGTAATTTGAAGTGTCATTTTGGAAGGGCCTTGGTGATTAAGTCTTTTCCATTTCTCTCATTAAAGGGCCGATTTTCCTGATGTGGGTTATAACTTCGTTCCAATCTGAAATTTTACCCACCCCTCCTCCCCGCTCAAAGAAGGTCTGTATTTATGACTGATTTTGAAAGAATAACAAATCCAGTTGTATACTTATTTTTTTAAAAACTGCTTTTGATTTTATTGAACTGCAAAATGCAGAAATCACTTGACTGTCATTCTCAAAGGTCCATTTTAAATCAGGAGATACGTCAAGGTATAATTACTCATATTTAAAACATTCCGTAATTATAGGAGGAAAGAATAGAAAAATAGCTTTAAAAAAAAAAAGAGGCCATTGGAAGCAATTGACTTTCAAGAAATGTCTGTCTTTTATAAAGTTCATAGTTTCCCAGTAAATTCTTTTAACTTAATAACATCTTAAACATAAAGAATCATAAAGGTCCTCTCATCTGCTACTACATATACACACAGAAAAAGAAAACAAAACAAAAACCAAAGTCCTTTCTCGAAAATGCATTTTTAAAAGACCTCCAAGAAGGAAATAGTTCTCAGGAAATGTCAAACATGAACATCTACATAATATCTACACAAAACAATAAATCAAAATCAGTTTTTTCCCATCTGACACAACACAATAAAACAGGTTTAAAGCATTGTTTGGGGCATTTTTTTAGCTCTCAAAAAAACCCCGTAATAGATGATGCCCTATTGGGAAAGATAACATGTGTTTTCTTGCAACTTGCTGGGAAACAGTATTTTTTGCTCTTGGTAAAGGAAATTAGATATATTATTTGGGGAAGAAGAATATAATATTTCACTGTGATATGATCCAACAAAAACTCAGGAAACTCAAAGTCCAACTGATGCTCTGCTAAAAATTCACACCATTGTGCCCCTCTACCGACAGGAGATTTAGAAGCCCAGGATGTCTGGGTGAACCTCAAATTTCCTGACTTCCCGTCTCCATGTCTAAACAGCAAAGTGTTATTTAAACATTCGCCGGCTTCAGACCGGTTTCACGTTGTTGGGTTTTTTTCCTTCTCCTTCTCCTGTTTCCTTCTGTATATTTCATACCTTCGCCTGTCCTTGCTTCGCATCACCTGAAATGTGTATATTGTATTTTAACCCCAGTGACAGAGTGGATCTGCAGAAATTGAACTCTTTTTCTAGGAAGAAAGGTATTTAACAAGGAAAGGAAAGGAATCACAGAATCATGGGGTTTGCACACAGAGAAACTATGAGTATAGATGGCACAAGTTAAAAAGAAAACAGATCGGGTGAAAAAGTTGCAGATTTGGGGTTCAGAGGGTCGCAGACAGAGCAAGAGTTCTTCGGGGTTGTACCTACTTGCGCTGTCTGAGAACTTCGCTTTTATGAATGTGTCAGTTACAAAGTCAAGTTATAAGACGTCACACTCTGTCAGGAGTCCTTCCTATATATTGAAACCCTCTAGTTCCGCACCATTTGTAGCTTCAGGATCGTTCAGTTACTACTGGGCTGCTAATTACAGCAGAGCAATGGAAAACGGGGCTTATAGTTTTATGGGCGCTTCTTCTGTGCAAGTGATCACTGGGGCTCTCGGGGACTAAGAGCTTACATGTTGACTGCATTGTAAGCATTTGGGATGGAGAGGGGTGGCTACTGCATGCAGAAGCTGTGAGTAAATGCTTCCAACAAGTAGTTTGTTATTAAAATGGGCTTTGAAGCTCTCTCTCTCTCTTTCTCTCTCTCTCTCTCTCTCTTTTAGTGTATTTTTGCATATTTTAAGGGTCCAGGCCCAAAAAAAAAAAAAAAAAAACCCTTTTTTTAATGAACCTAATTTGGATTTCATTGAATTTTCTGCCTGCCCTGATGTTAAGATATGTTGGTGAATTTAATTCCCTGACCCCTCTGTATGAAAGAAAAGAAACTCTTTCTTGAAGAGCTTTAGAAAGGGGAAGAAAAATCCTTTTAAAAAGGCTTAGGGGGCGAGGGAGTAGAGCGAGTAAGTGGCAAAAGCGGCTTTATTTTCTAAAGCTCAAATTCCAAAGACGGAGCACTGTCTACGTAAGAACTGAAGCTAATTTACCTGAATCCTTTTGTGAGTGCATGCTCTTGACTAGTAAATGATTCTTTTCACTGGCCAATAAAACCAAATCAAAAGCATGTTTTGGGTGCAGGGATGGTGCCTGACAATCCCCCCCAAATGAAAAGCCAACTTTCTATACTGTGTTTGTTTTTGCTTTCTCCCTAAGAGGATTTTTTCAGAGAAGGAGCCAGGGAGTTGGGGCCACCCTCTTTGGCTCCGCTCCTGTGGAGGGCTAGAGGGGACTGTTCCCCTCTTGTCCACAGAGCTAAACTGTCCCCTGCAGTATTTCCCAAGAAGGAAAGAGAAAGCTCCTACCAGCAGGCAGGACGACAAACCTGTTGATGTTCTTCTTTGTGCTGTTCCCAAGGGCTGTTGTAGGATCCCAGCCCTTGCCGAAGGCTGGGGCACTTTGTCAGTCTTTGGGGGACAGCTCAGACTTCCTGTGCCTTGGTATCCCCACCGTTAAAACACTCCTCACTGTCTTTTGTCCTACAAGATGTCAGAGGAGTTGTTTGCAAAAGATTTAGGAGCCCTTCAAAGCAAGCAGTTACATAAAAAGATTTTTTAAAAAATGATGATAGCCTGCTTCATTCCATTCCTGACATCTTGTTGGTTTGAATATATGAGAGAATTACATAAAGATGCCTGGCAATTATTACTAATAAGTAAAAGTACCCGATGTGGGCATTCGCTATGGAATAGCTAACCTTGGTAGAGGCAACAGGCTTTCAAACACTTTTTTTTTCCCAGCTTAAGCTGGAAGCGATGTTTTTCTCTTTTTTTTTTTTTTTTTTGTCCTCTTTTACTATAGGAAATCAGGTAGAAGAAGAAATAAAGATAAGATTGCTTAATAATTACTATCCCTGGACTTTTGAGGCTTTGAGGCCTTATTTCATGCCTCTCTCTCTCTCTTTCTCCCCAGACAATGAAATGCACCCAATTGAAAAATGGATGAACTAAAGCTTTCGTTATTCTGCCGGCCAAATTGGATTGGTTTCTCAATTTGACTGAGTGCTTAGAAATTAGTCAATAAGGCAACTAATTAATAATTTGACCGGGAGTGGCGGGGGTGAGGGGGGAGTCCATTTCTCAGCTTCAAGTCTGTGGACTTTTTGAGGGGACTTGCTAGGTAATTCCAGCAAAACCTTGCCATGGTGAAAACCCAGGGGCTGAGGCAAAAAGGAAGTGGAGGGTCCCATTCACGTCATATGAAGCTTTTTCTTCCTAGGAGAACAGTATAGTAGCGGGAGGTGATGTGCAGGGAATGGAAGTTGTGAAAAGTGATTTCATATCCGATACAGTCGTGTGTTCTCGGTGGTACATTATCAACTATATTCCACAACAGCCGTAGAGCAAGCTTGAAGTGCGAGTATTTACTGAGTGCTAAGTATTATGCTAAGTAGAGCATGTTGAATATATTATCTATTTGATTCTCTTGTCACACAACAACATGCATACTATGATCCTCATTTTATAGGCAAGGAAACTGAGGCCCAGAGTGTGGAGTGACCTACTGAGACCATGAAATAGTAGAGAAATTAGCCAGAGTTTTAGACTGAGATTTAGGGATTCCAAAGACCTGCTTTCCAATTCCTTTCTTTATCGAGCACAGGGGAGATTAACCAAGGGATATGTTGTCAATTTTCTTCCGCCTACAGGAAAACTGGTGTTCCAGACTGGCTAATTTCACACGCGGTCATGGACAAGCTGGGTCTTTCTCCCTGAGCTTCAGTTTCCCCTGGACAAAATCAGGGAGGTCCTTCAGCAGTGGCCATAAAAGAGTTGCATCATCTAATACTCCTGGCTCTGCCAAGAAACATGTTCAGAAAACATCAGATAATCTGCTTGTACCCAGCAGATGGCTGAACATGAAAAGACACTGGGATGTTTTCTTTGTTTTTTGTTTTTTTAATCTAGAATGGACCTCGAGAGATCCGGAAAGGCTTCATGAGTTAGTTGTAAAGAACAAAACCATCTTTGGTTTAATTCGGGCTCCATCACCCTCTAGGAAAGCGAAGCTTCGTCTCTCTGAGCCTCTGTTTGCTGACCTGTAAAACTGGAATAATGGTGTTAAAGTACATATGTGTATTTCACGGGGCTGTTGGGGGGGTTAAATGAGAAGATGCTTACACCAGGAGTGGCAGAGTGGGACTTATGCCTCACACAGCAAGCGCTATGTGGGACTCTGAGTGAGAAGGAGGGTAATGGAGGTGATGAGCTGGTGAGGACAATGATGGTGGTGCTGGTGGTGCTGGTGATGCTGCTGCTGCTGCTGCTGCTGGTGAAGATGCTATGGTTGGTGGTGGTAATGGTAGTTATGGTAAAAAGGGTGATGACGGTGACAGTGATGATGGCGGTGGTGGTGATGGTTCAACAGCAAAGTGGATAATGGCCATGGTGCTGACCTCTTCGGTTTATAAAGGAGAACATGGAGGCCCCAAAATCATGCCTATAAGCAGCCTTGCTGAGACTGGAAATTGATCTTCCAGTGCTGGCCCGTTCCCTTTTCCACTGCCCAGGCTAAAAATAAGTGGGGAGGATTTGGCTGAAGGAACCTAGAAGTGCAGGTCAGAGCTGAGGACCAGCACCTCACCTACCTCCACCCCAGCTCACTTTACAGGAAGGCCAGGGCTCACTCTGTCCTTACCAGATCTCAGTCGCCTCCTTTTATTGACTACCACCTCCCAGAGCCCACCTACAAACAGGGCAATAAGGTAGCTCAAGTAAGCTGTGCCTTTAACCCAGTAATTCCGTTGCAGCTGGTCCCATCCTGGATTGTGAGAAATTCTCCCTGGAGGAATTGATTTACTTTCTGTTTTCAACCCAACACCCAAAATAATCTATTGACTCTGTCAATTACATTTTCCAGATGGGGATAAGTGGTCCCTCCGGGAGCTTAAATTCAAGGCTATAAGACACCAGAGTTAAAGAAAAAGAGGAGAATAAGAGAAGCACAAAATACATACATACTATATGCCAGGGAGTAGCAGCAGACTTGTGATTGGAAATTGAAGCCAACACAAACTCCCAAGAGCACTGAGTGTTCCTAACTGTGAGAGAAACTGGCTTTAGAATGCAAAGGAGTCACACCATCAGGTGACAGCTGCCCTAAGAGCCTAAGGCTAATAAATAGACAGGACAGGCAATACCACTGCCCCCGTGTGTCCACAGCAGACATTGCTAATCAAAAGTGGTATTCTTCACAAAATCCAAAATAGCCTCCCAACCTCTCAATCACAGAGCTCCAGCAGGCATAAGCAATCAATCTCAGGGATGAAAATGATTTTCCACTTGGCATGTGGGAGCAAGACCAGCAAATGATTCACATAAATGTACCTCTTGAAAAAGCATTAAGTGACAGGTCAGGGGAGGAGTTACCATGTCAGGTAAGATCCAGGCAGCAGCAGCAGATTCAGCCATCTCAGTCTGTCATATTTGGAACACTGTGGATGCTGTTTCATTCATTCACTTATTTACTTACCCCTTCATCTATTCATCCATTCCGTCTTTCACTCATTTTTTAATTCATCCACTCCCACATTTATTTGTTCCCTCGATTATTCCTTCACTTATGCCTCTGTCACTCAAGTTTCTCATTCAAATCTTTGTTCTTGCGCTATATGCCAGGCACTGTCCTGGATACTGAAGATGTAAAACATGAACAAGATGGACCCAGCCCCTGTCTACATGGGGCTTAGTCCTCCAGCAGAAAATTTACAGTCATTCATTTAGGCATTTCTTTTTGGTTGAAATCGTTACAAGAATGGAGAATGGGTGGATATTTCCAGAGCACAGCTTGGGGGCGTGGCTTAGTCTAGGAGAGATGGCTGGGGAGAAATCAGGGAGAGCTTCTCGAAGGAAGGAATGCTGCTGCTGAAGGGTGGGGAATAGAGTGGGCATGGTGGGGACAAAGTCTGCCGGGTGGCCCTGCTGCAAAGGCCTGAAGGTGGACAGCCGCACAGTAGAGAGAAGGTCAGGGAAATGCCCCACAGCATGTGGGAAGGAGCAACATGAGACAGAATGTGGTGCAGCAGATAGGAGCGCGGGACGACGTCCTTCTCAAGCAGGAGTCCGGCTGTGGCCCTCACGAACGTTCTTCACAAGCTGTGATCAAAAATGTAGCAAATGCTGCTGCAGAGTGCCATCCCATGGAAAGGCCGGCTCGTACAACCATGCGACGTGACCTTATTCACCAGATCTAGCACAATGTGACTTCTGGTTCTACCCTAAGTCAAGATGACCATGAAAGGGAAATATTTTGAACTGATCCAAGACGTAGAGCCAACCACATAGTAAAACTAAAGACACTCACAAAAGGGGACATCCAGAACTGCTTCAGGAAGTGGCAAGAACAATGGGATAAGTGTGTCCAAAGTGAGAGAGGGTATTTTGAAGGGGATTCGTGGCAGTGTCTTTTACTATCATGATTTTTAAAATGTAAACCTTCACTGTATTTTCCAATCAAATCGCCTAACCTCCAAGCCCCTGGCTGTGCTCTGTCCGGCTCGCTTCTCCAGCCTTACCCCGTGCTGGTCTTTCTCCCTGAAGATGCTCTGCTCCACCCAGACTGAAAGCCCAGGTCCTGGAAGACGGATACTTACATAAGCCCCACAAAAGCAGGAAGTTGGTGTGTTTCACTTCCGGCTGCACCCCCCAGTGCCCAGGGTGCTCGGCACAATGCCAGGTGTAGATGATGGGCTGGAGGAATACCGTAAATGTACAAAGGAGTGATTTTTGACCCCACCCTTGGCACAGTGCCTAGCACAAGACACAGTGCCTTTAAGGGTTGCAAGAAAAGAGGGAGAAGTGGCTGGGTAGGGAAAAAGGAGAAGGAGCACAGGAAGGAGGAGAAAGAAGGGACAAATAAAGAAGAGAGGAAGAAAAGAGGGAGAGGAGGGAAAGAAAGCAGGAAGAAGAAGGAAGGAGAAGAAGAAGGAAGAGAGGAAGGGACCAGAAAGGAAACATCCAATACAGGTATAAACCAGGATTTTCAAAGCTCTAATTTCCACACAAAAAGATCCAGTCATTCTTAATTATTTCCAGAACAAAGTACTTAGAAAAAAAAAAAAACAAAACGCGTAGATTCAGACTCCCCAGCCTGCCAGGGCCCAGTGGCAGGAGGAAGCGGGCCTGGCCATGGGCGGGGCTCCTTTGGATGTTTTAAGCCAAAAAGCATTCTTGTGGCCTCGTAATTTCTGAGCGCTCCTGGCCGGGCTAGCTGGCCAGGCTCTGTCTCCTGCGGAGGCTCATCCTCGCCTTTCCTCAGCTCAGCCTCCTGGAACTAACACGGGTCAAGCCATCTGTTGAGCCTCAGTTTCCTCACTGGTAAAATAAAGTAAGAGGGTTAGAGGGTCTCTAATCTGACCCTAACAACCCTAACACTGAGTCTACCTTAAATTCTCTTCCTGGACCCTTTTATCAGCACACATCTGTCTTACTATTAATAATTGTTCTCATGATAATAATAGTAATTCCTCTTACAGCAGCTACCGTGTAATGAAGCCTTTTGTATTTTGTCTTCATAATCATGCCATAAGGCAGATCTGTTATCTCTGTTTTGCATATGAGGGAACTGAAGTTCAGAGAGGTTACATACCTTGCCCAAAGAAACACAGCCAATAA